CAGGAATGCTTGACTTGACCAAGCTTAATCTTTTGTAAACTTCTCTAAATATTTATGTTTGCACAAAAAGCATCTTCCTGTGACAAAAGTAGAGATGGATGTTCTCGGCAACTTGAAGAAAGCATACAGTTGAGCAGCAAAGACTAGGGGAGAGAGGGCAATGAACTGGAATACATGATGAAAGAGGAATGAAGAGAGCTTCTCTGTGCTGATACAAGAAAGACCTATTCAGGGCCTGATTCTATTCTGCATTATTCACTTAAAGGCTTTCCCCAAGCTGGCAGACGTTTTGGACACACAAGTAGCCCAGTATTTGAATGCAAAGGCCACTTTGATCTCTTTTCCTTTGGGACATAGGAGAACAGAACCTCTGTTCTTGCCCTGTGACTGTGGATGGCACAGACACATCTGTTTTGGTGTGTCCCGGAGGCAGCTGCTCCCTGTAGCACTGATCTCAGCTCACTTCCAAGATTTCCTCATGCCGATCTTGGAGAAAGAGATGTGCTAATGCTCGGTGGCTGCTGGAGAGCAGCCACAGAAAACTCTTCTAACTACAACAATACTTCCTATCTCACTGTCATGTGTCTGAGTAGGATCGAGAAGCATAGGGGTACAGACCTAGGAATGGGGTACAAAAAGTCATGCAAAAGGGCAGGCCTTCCTGGAGCGTAGCTCTTTTCTCTCCCGCTGTACAGCCTCTTATCCTGCCTGCTCCACCGCCTCTCAGCAAACATTATGGAAAGAATACTTCCTAGAAAACTGAGAGGATTCACCCCTTTTGGAGCCTTGTCTGGCTCCTCCCCAACAGGTTTCTGAAGGAGCAGAGCTAAGGTCATGCTCAAATCCAGAGACCACCTTAATTATGCTCAATATATTTCAACCACATGCAAAACCTTTCCTCACCAAGACTTCCTGAAATGTTCTGAAACATCTGGAGAAGGGGTCATTCCAGAATCAGCTACTTTTAGCAATAGACAATTTTATGCAACCATATCACATGGGAAAAAGTTATGGTGCTAATGTAAGATGATTATTGCTTTGCCAAATCTGTAGGACAGGATTCTTATTTTTATTCCTTGCCTGACCATCTCCCCACTAGCACAGGATCAAGGCTGCCATGCAGGCATGGCTGTAAAGAATGGTAAGCTTAATTTTCCAATAAAAATATGTGCAGTTTTGGTGTGCAAGTTCTCCAGTCTTCAGATATGTTGGGCTTTCATGTTTTAGGGACTGAGGTCAGTGAAGAAATAAATGAAAACATGGCAAGAGGAAATAAGAAATAATTGCAACTCTAAGGAGAATTTATTGTTGTTTGAGAGAATCATTATTCGTCCATAGCATATGCTCAAGATACAGATTT